AAACAGCAAGTACTTAGTAGGAATTAGAGCTGCTCATATTAATTCCTCATTTATACAACAAACACTTTTTGTTTCATGGAAGGCAACTTAGGTTAGAAATGACTTTTAGTTTGTTTGTTTTGCTTTGCTTTAACCATCAATAGAGTAGTTGTAGATTCATCATCCTTAAGAATATACAGTAAATGGAGGAAAATGTTAAAGCATGGAAGTAGGAAGGTCGTGAACTAATGATACTGCAATACATGCCACTTTCATGCCTGTCATCTTTCATAACTGTGGAACACTGCTCATAATCACAGATGAAAATAGAGATTGGCATAACACACCAGTATTGAAATGGAATTCATTGTTGCTTACAGAACAGAAAAATAATGGATTAATTGCATCTGTTTTAAGCATTGCTACTTTTTAAAAGAATTTTACTCATGGAGTTTTAGTAATACAATATTTTTTTGAAGAAAGTAGAAAGCTTCAAGTAGGACTCTTACAGAAATAAAACTCTGGGTTTGTGTGCACAATTCTTCCCAATAATCATTCTTGCATTTATCCAGGAACAAACATAATCAGCAACTACTTCTGAGTCCCAAGGAGCCAGTCTAACTTACGCTTCAACATTAAGAATCTCACTATGAAGAAAAAGCATTTTGGGATTTCCAAACATTATTCACATTGCATGGATTTATGTGAAATATTACATCATGTACAAGAAAAATGTTTATTGTCATGTTATTTTTAATGCATTTCTCTGACAAGAGGAAACTGTATCATTTCAGAAACATGAATGTTACTCGTTATCCCTTATGTGTGGGGATACACTCATATTCTTGTCCTCAACTAATGCACACCTATCCTGACGTGTCAAAGAATTAGTAAGAAATCTAGTAAAAGCGATAGAATTTTATTTTTGAAGACTACAAAAAAAAAAAAAAAAAAAAAAAGATAAAAGAAAAATGATTTCATCTGACAGAGTTCTCCACTGCTGAGGATCATAGAATCATAGAATGGCCTGGGTTGAAAAGAACGACAATGATCAGCTAGTTCCAACCCCCCTGCTATGTGCAGGGTTGCCAACCAGCAGACCAGGCTGCCCAGAGCCACATCCAGCCTGGCCTTGAATGCCTCCAGGGATGGGGCATCCACAACATCCTTGGGCAACCTGTTCCAGTGTATCATCACCATCTGGGTGAAAAACTTCCTCCTAATTTTTAACCTAAGCCTCCCCTGTCTCAGTTTAAAACCATTCCCCTTTGTCCTATCACTATCCACCCTCAGAAACAGCCATTCCCTCTCCTGTTTATACGCTCCCTTCAAGTATTAGAAGACCACTGTGAGGTTTTCCTGGAACCTTCTCTTCTCCAAGCTAAACAGGACCAGTTTCCTCAGCCTTTCCTCTTAGAAGAACAGGATATCAGCTTGGAGGCTTGCTTGCTGGAATTTGTGAGTGATGAATTTCTAGTTGTGATTGAGAAAATGTCACAATCTACCTTTATCCACTGCAAAGATTATTTTTATCACCAATCTCAGGAAAATATTTCTTAACAGTGCTTTTTCTGCCTTCCAACTTCCTATTTCCCTACTTTTGCTGCATTTCTAATGCCCCCATCCGTCCAAGTTATGCTGTCAATTACAATACTTTTTCTAGGAAGAAAACACAGATATCTCTACACAAGGAATTAAAAGAATTTCACCTGCTAGCACTGCAAATAGATTAATTTATTTATGATCACTTAATTTCACAGTTTTGTGGTAGGCTCCTGTTTGTATGTATTTGCAGCCTGAAATATGTCTTTAAGACAGCTGAAGAGGAAGGGATGTTGTGAGAGGAATTTCTTCCTACTTTATTACATTCTTCCTATCACTTAAAACAGCTATTAAAAAATGTTTAAGATATAATTTCTCTGAATATATCATAGAACATTAAGATTTCTTTTCATAAACTAAAGACAGGTTAACCTGTCAGAAATACCATTTGTATGAAAGTATCAAAAACAAGACATAGAGGATACAGTTAAAAATAGCATTGCCAATGAAAAAATTTAAAAGGCCCTAATATTACGTAATATTGATTTGCAGCTCATGCTGCTCTTAACATCTATCTGAAAACCAGGACATGCAGAATTTATGTTCTGAAGGAAGAAAAAGAATAATGGGGTCAAAAAGATTTTCCAGTGCTGGAGAGTAACCACACCACTTTATATTCTACTGACAATGAGGTTTTCAGCAAACATGAATATATACAACTGAGGAAGAAAATTATTTTGAGAATACACACATGGAGACCTAAGCATTGTAATCATGATTTTAATTGAGTGCCTCTAATGGAGGTTCCAAAGAGGTTAAACCACGGCTGGATGAAATATTAATGTATTTAGTAGCTACTGGTTTACCATTTTGTTGGATTAAAATGACAAAAGGTCATTGCATAAGCAAACAAACATCTCTAAATGTTGAGATTGTTAGAATGCAATAGAAGAAGTTTTGAGATTTAACAATAAACTCTTCAGAAATTGAATCAGTGACAGAACAAGTTAATCTCCAAACTTATTGCACTTAATTTTAACGACATATTATCTGTTTTTTTATGCATGCTAAGTAGGGTATTTTATATGTTGTTTAAAGACATGTATCATAATTATTTGAAGATTTCATGTACAAAAATATTTTATGCATACTCAGCACTACTCAGCACGAATCCCTCCTTGATGCCCAGTAGCTTTTCAGGAAGAATCCTTTCTTTTTTTTTTTTTTTTTTTTTTTTTTTTTTTGAAGAGCTGTATTCCTTTTCAGAGGAGCAGAATAGACAGCATCACCATAACACATAATCATTTTTGACAACCCATCAGTCCAAAGAGACATTTGGAAGTGTTCTATGAGAGTACTTGAAACTCTCTTTATGATTCCAGAGACTTGGAAGTTTAGAAGAGCTGATTCAACAACTGTGCTAGGAGTCCCATTTCTTGAATACTGTGTTAATGCAATGCTGGGATCCACTGCTCTTTCTTGTGCAAACATCTTTAGGTTGTCTGGTGCCTATCAATCAGCATATATCAGATCAAGCTTTCATTTGGTCTAAATAATGTAAATATGTTTATGACTGGAGAAGGCCAATACTCTTAATCCATATTTTATCAAACCACTAGTCTAGTTTGCTTGACTCCACACATTCTGGAAAAAATTATCTGTGTAATAGTACAGTGAAGAGCACAGTGAAGTGGTGGGTGATGCGTTTTAGCAGTGCTGACACCAAGAGTAGGTCACCTCTGTTGGTGTAGATTTTTACATGTGGCATGCAGGTTCTTGATAACTGCTATTGAAAATGCATAGCTACTGGTGGTGACCATATTAAAAAATCAGTGCTTTGTAGCTGAGAATTTGCTCTATCAAATGGAGTGAAAACTCTTAAGAAGGGAGAATTTCCAGCTTAATTATTATTTAAGGAATTATTGGAGAGATCCACAGGAAAACTGTACTTAGGGACGTAGGAATGGAGTACCATTGCCAGCTCTTTAAGGAAACCCTTCTGAGAGCACAAGAGACAAGAGCTCTCCATCCACCAGCATAAGAAATCAAGCAAAAGAGGCAGGAAACCAGAATGGTTGAGCAAGGACCTGCTGGTTAAATTGAGGGATAAGAAAATACAGAGGCAGAGGCAGCAGGGATATGTGGCTTCAGATGAATGCACGAATGCCATCTGGACATGCAGAGATGGGATCTGGAAAGCCAAGGTATAGATGGAACTGCATTTGGCAAGGGATGTGAAAAATAACAAGGGATTCTATAGGTATACTTGTCAGAAGAGACAAGGCAGAAGAGAAGAGGCAAAGAAAAGTGTACCTTCAGAGAAATGAGAAGGGAGAATTGGCTTCGACAGATTTGGAAAAGGCAGAGTTCCCTGCTTCAATCTTCACTGGCTATCATGTTTCCCACACCTCTCATGTCTGAATCTCTAGGTGGGATTCAAAGGAAGAAAATCCCTCTCAAGAGCAGATAGAGACTACAAGTTTATTGGGGCTGGCTACATGTTAGGAAAAAATTCTTTACTCAGGGGTGGTGAGGCACTGGTAAAGGCTGCCCAGAGAAACTGTGGATGCCCTATCCCTGGAAGTGTTCAAGACTGTTGGATGGGGCCCTCAGCAGTCCTAGTGGGTGGCAACCCTGCCCATGACAGCGGGGTTGGAATTAGATGTTCTTTATGGTCCTTTCCAAATTAAACCATTCTATGATTCTATGACGTGACTTTCTTATCTCGCTGATCTAACCTCACCGATTCTAATGGAAATGTAGTCAGCACCATGTTAATAGACATACATTTATGCAGATATACCAGCTACATTGATGTTAAACATCAAGCTATCTAAGAAGGAGTGCACACTCAGGTCTAAAAAGTAATTTGGTTTAGAGAATTTTACAAGGCAGTAAAAAGTAATAATCTATTGTGTTTTTTGATGAATTTAAGAATTAATGTGATTAACTTTCCTCTTCTACTCTGATTCTTCAAATTTTTTCCAATGTTAAGAAAGTCAGCCCTAATTTTCAATTTATGTCATAAAAGCAAACAATCTATATTTTGTAAAATAGAACCATAATGTAAAGCAACAAATTTTAAATTCAATTTAGGCAAGTAGAATTAAGCTTTATGGAAGAAAATGTTTAAAGTAGTTTAAAAGAACCTCCACAAAAAAAAAAAAAAAAAAAAAAAAAAAAAAAAAATTGTATTTCAGTAGTAAAATGCATTCATTTCCAGTTTTTTTAATCAAGGTGAATTCATACATTTGAAAATTCTAATTTCCAGACATTATATACTCAAAGATTGTTATTACATGGGCATGGACAGATCAATATTGCTCTTACGAAGCTTTCAGAACCCTTCTATGCATTAAAATGTATTCAGATCCTCATTAATGGAGTCATCAATCTCATGCAATTATTGAGCATATATATCATCTAAATATATCTTATACTTATTCCAGGCTCCAGGATTTAAATTATTCATTACTTACCCCAGTTCTTTGAACTTCCAAGAAAATTGCTCTTTGAAATGATTTCTCCCAAACTGCCAACTCGCTGCCCAGCTCTACATTGAAACAATGACTCTTGCCATGTCCAACCATAACACTGAAACAATAGGGCCTGTGGTCTTCGAAATCGAAGTCCTGATGAATACCAAAATACAAGTTTGCTTGTAGCCAACAATCATCAGCAAGCCAGAGCTGAAAGATATGTTTCAGTATGTGATTCTTCATCTAGCAAAACAGTTAAAGCAACATTGTCTTTTGTAAGCAGTGAGTACTTGGATATGTTGTTATTAAGTTAATAATTATTTTGAAGAAACATTCTGACAATTAAGCAATATTTCCAAAATTCTCTAATTGGTTCTAATTCATGTAACCTTGTATCATACTACTTCAGTAGTTCAAAATTACTGTCAAACTTATCTAAGCAACGCATTCACAATTTAAAAGGAGTTTGTACAATACATTGTTTACAGTGAGAAGAAACAAAATTTCTTATTTGTTTGAATGCACTTCAAGAGCCGTCCATAAGTCTTACTGATGAATATAGCTAATGCATTCTAACTGGATTTCAATTTCCTGAACACTCAGGAATGTAATACTCCACCAAGTACACAAAGGGTCATTCAGGGAATGATGACCTGAACTTTCTAATATCCTCTAATAGCTTCCATTGCTGCTCTGCTACAACAAAGGGAGTGAAATGGGATACTGCCACCATCTTCAGGATGAAGAAGATGAAAAATTTCACAAAATTTTCACTTTTATCATAACAAAAATCCTTGTAAAAGAAAGCTTTTCACTGAAAACAAAATGTCATGTGAAACTTCTCAAATATTAAAAGTGACTAGCATAGAGAAAAACAAAACTAAATTAAAAGCTTTTACAATTGAGTACTTTCAATGATTGATTTTCCATATATATATTTATATATTTTAATTTCTATTTATCAGGGCCTTTTCCCATCTCCATTTCTCTATAACGATATGGAGCAGAAAAGATTGAAAAACCATGAAAGAATTTACGAATGGAATCTTTTTTCTCATCTTATAAAATCACTTGCAATCAGAATTTTATTTCTCTAGCAATCCACATCAAGTTTGAGAGAGCTGACTCAGGTCAAGCAGATCCGAGGCAAAAGCAGTAACGCTGGAGTGGACATAACTGGCTTTGAAAAGATCAGAATGTAGCTCTGTAATGGCACCTAAGTCCTGGAATCTCACAGTAAAAGATTCTTTAGACTTCAAATTTATTTTTTCCAAAGGTTCCAACAGTATATCAGAGCCTACCAGAGACTGGAAATTCCGTAGACATAAAAACAAGCAAACAACTGGGATCTGAGCCTTGTCACCTAAAATACTTTGCTATATGTAAGACAAATGTTTAAAAGCACAGGGTTTTGCATCCTTTCTGTTCTAGATGCACAAACAACTTTGCAGGACAGCAGTGAAGATCCAGTTTCAGTAATAAAAAGTAGAGGAAACAAATGATTCAGCAGTATAATCTTCCTTGTGTACTGCTCTCGTATTCATAAACAGGATCAAAATAACTCATACTGAATATTTTGTTCATATAGGTGAATTACTGAATAACGTTAAGCTGGCATATCTAAACTTATCCAATTTACTTGCCTATCTGTTAAATTATGGATATTTGAGGGCATACCTCTGAGGTAATACATAATTGTACCAGGGTACATGAGATTTTGCTGTCAAAAAAGGCCCTACAGCTGGCATAGGAGAGTTTTTTGTCTTTATGCAGTTCAAAACTACTTTCCAATGCTTGTTTGCACTGGCAAAAAAGAACCTGAATAAAATAAGTGCATATCATCTCATATTAAGTACACATGGAGTAACAAGTAATAAGCCTACATCTACTTCAGTACTACCCAATGAATAGTACTCATCGTGGCTGTTAGACTAAAATATTTTTGTTTCATCTTTTTGTACTTAGAAATGTGATGTGTGAAATACTATGCAATAAAAGAAAATCAAACATCTTTAATGCAGGTTACTTTTAAAAACACATATAATGTTATATACTGCTTTTCATTAACAGTTCCAGTAAATACAAAGTATGAAGAAAGTTTAGGACATATATATAAATTTATAAATTTATAAATTTAGGACATATACATAAGTGGGATCACATTTTCAGTCACCTGCCTGTTACTGTTAATTGTTCATGTATATGAATGCTAATTAACATATTTTCATATCTATGTGAATTAAAATATGTATTTATATGCATGTATACACACACCATCCTAAAATACAGCAAAACGGTTAAAAGTGCCCTTCCCATATTGGATGCTTATTTTCCATTTTTAACTCTTTTTGCTTAATGAACACAGGTGAGACGCTTACAGTTGAGTAACAAGTGCACCTTCTCTTAAAAATAGAAAAGCACTCTCCATCATGGCTTTGCAGTAGTTCTAACCAGCTCCTGAAAATCCTTAAAAACACTCTCCCAATCTGTATTTTTTACAACATAAACTCCACCTTTCAGTCTATAATGTAGGAACTCTAATCTCTTAAGATTTTTTCCATCTTTTTGGATTTGTTCAGTTTGCCTCATCATCATTCATATCAAAGGATCAACAGAAAAGAGGTTAAAGTGCTGAACTTGAGCTTTTGCACTTTAGTTAATGTATTCATGAAGACTAGCAATTAAACATTAATTTATTAAAATGTCAAGAACATTAAAGGGTTGAATCTTTGGTAGTTTACTTCCCATTTCCTTTTCTTAATGAAAAAGTACCACAGAACGTGATTTAAGGATAAACTATCTTTGAAATTAAAAAGGGGTGGCTTTCAAATCGGTAGCGATATTTGAAGGAGAAAAATCAAAAGCAAAACCCACACTGGAGAAAAATCTTTTCAAAAAGTATGAGTATTTGTTTTGTTGTTGCCCAAATTATCTACCTGGAAAATGTAAATTTTAAGAAAACCTAATAAGACAGAATCAAAAATCAGGGTCAGATTCTCTGCTCTTTGCTGCTGTCTCGGTGATGGTCAGGATCTTTCCGCACATACCCATGATCAGTCACGGTCACATTAATCTACATTAACGCTACATCCACAAAAGAAGTACTGAGCTCCTGGATGAGTGCCTGTGCTCTGGAGCTCAGCTCAGGTCTGCAACTCCAAGAGTGTCAGGCTCTTGGTAAGGCACTGGCCAAGACCCTTCCCTCTCTCACTTCTGTCAGAAAAGGGAATCATCCCCTCCTGCTCAGTAAAAGTAGGCTTCCTAGAGTATAAAAGCAAACACTGATGGGCTGGAATTTTCACTTACAGCTGCAAAACAGGCATCTGACATCAGGTTCTTTTACCAGCCAGTTAACGGAGCTGACACAACTCTAAAAGGGAGATGTCAGTGCAAGGCTGAGAGCTATTGTTTGTTTTTTTTTTTTATTTTGTTTTTGCTTGTTTGTTTTTGTCTGTGTGCTTCTTACTCTGTTTGTAACTTCATCATGTTTACTATTTATTTATTTTTAAATTACAATCCTCAAAATAGATGTAGGAAATATATCACTGCTGTGGAAAGTCAGTTTGGGACAAGCAATTTGAGCAGCCAGGACATGGAAACTCCATCATTCCATTCTCCAAACAATTTGGTCCTTTAATGAAACAGGTAACAACACCCTTTTTGCTGTACAGGGTGGAGTGTTATTGTCAGGTCTTTGCTTCTGTACACTGTCCCAGTTAACTGTGTTCTGATAGAAAAGCATCCACAAGAAGTACTCCATCAACTAAGGAGCTCTCCCTTGGTAGCATTGCTAAGCCAGGATCTGCACCAGTAACACAGCAACATTCCTTCTCCACAACATGAGTACATGCTCAAAGGAGGAACATCAGAGGGAAGGACAGCAGCTGGTGAGAACTAGAGCTTGTTTGGAATTTTTCAATGAAACAGCATCTCATGGGAAAGGATTTTCTTGTTTATTCCTTGAGAAAGTTTTCAGTTTTACTTTCTTAGGAATATCTTTCATCTAGCTCTATCTTGCCTGCAAAGTTCTTTTTGATTATTCAGTAGTGAACTATACTAACTTATCTGATGCAACTACTTAAAAAATATCTTTTGTAAGTCAACTATTTAAACAGACCAGTAGAGTTTGTTCTAAAGCCTTCCTTGCTACAAGCTAAACAGAAATATGACACTATGTCTAGATGGTGGAAAAAATAAAGAAATTTATGGTACACAAATGGACATCACTGCCCCTTTTATGGTTAAAAACAACTATAATGTTATCAAATTATGAATGATCTAAGAATGGCAGAATTGTATAGTTCTTATTACTCAAATAAAAGCATTTTCATGTAGAAAACATTCTTCAATACATTCACTTAAAAAATCTAAGCTACTAGGAAAATAACATTATCTGATTCCATTATGATTAGCTGATCATCAGCATTTCATGTCTGATTCTCACATGGAAAGAAAATACTCTTCAGTTTAGGAGAACTTAAGGAATTTGCCTACTTGGACCTTAATCTGTTTTCCAGATTCAATTATACTGCAACAGTCATTGCAAAAAGGTTTTATTACAACAAATAAGCTACTTGAATGTCAGCTACCCCTAAATGAGATTAAACTGATCTCAACATCAACAGGAAGAGGCAAGCTTTCTTTACTGTATAATATAATTGTAATTGTTCGGAAACCTACCTTGTGAATTTTAAATAGAACCTCACAGAGGTTATACATTTTTTCAGCTCGTACCCAGTCTAGTGTGCTTACCTATAATATCAAAATACAATATTAAGAACAAATTCTTCTTCATTCTAAAATCATTTAAAAATGAAAAAAAATATATAGATTTCACCAATCATTATTCTATCTTTAAATATAAGCAAATGTTAACTACATTTAATATCTAGCATTTAAAAATACTGTCAAATAGCATTCAGTTTCTTCCAGAAACAGTATCTACGTGAGTTTTACTATAATTAAAATATATGATATAATTAGAGAGATTTCTTTTCCATTGTTACTACAGCATGATGGAAACCTTTTTGTAATCTCTGTGGTGAGGTACATAATAATATTTATTTTTCACTGTGCTAGCATAGAGAACCTTCTCAAACACAAAGGCATTCTGCTCCATATCTCAATTTAATAAAAACCTTAGCATCAGCAGACCAAGATGTGGTCCTAAATACAGGTTTGAGTTGACATACGGTAGGGCACCATTATCTTAATATTTATATTAAAAACAGAAACTACAGAGATTACAATATTTGAAATTAAAAAGCTTGTCAGCTGCGCACATAACAATGAATACTAATAACTGGATTTTGTTTTCTTTTGTTTTTGTTGTTTTATCTTGTTCACATTATAGGCTATTCAAATTTGACAGTTGGAATGATAGGTGAAGACTTTTCCTTAAGACTAGGTCATGACATACTGTGCTAATCTATTTTCTATTAAAAACAGAATCTAGCCTAGATAGCATAAGGAAAAGAGAACCCAGGCATGAAAAATATCAGGGAAATACACATTGTTTTAATTACATGTTTTAGCACAAAATTCTAACTTTCTAAATTAAAAAAAAATTCTAAATTAATAGGAATATCTATATAGATTTATAAAGAATTTGAGTTAACTGAACCCTGAAGCTTTTAGCACAAGCAAATCAGTGTTTTGGTAACTGTTCTAACAGGTTGGATGCCTTAAAATGCCAGGGAAGATGTAGCTTGGTTTGTTTCCCCTCCCTCACTTTCCAAAGGAAGAGAGCAGATTCACTCTCTCAAAGTATTAGCTATAACAAAATGTGTCTACAAATCACCTCGCTTCTATGAATAGAAGTTAACCAGGAAAGAATGGTGAAATTCTTTATGTGATTATTTCAGGGTATATAATAGCATGAATTTCAGCTATAGTACATGAATCTTGTTCATGTTGTTTCACATGAACATGATTTATATTTTTCCTTTCAATGGGATCATCTTCACGGACTCTAAATCTCAAAGGTTCAGAAATTGTGTTGTAATACCATGATGATATCACTTTATCACATCACAACAACACCGAAGACAATTGTTGTGACTTCTACCGGTTATCAAACTGTATTTCTCTGAGGGCCCTTGGAAGAGTAAGGTAAACTCAGAGCTAGTTTCTGTCTAATCTTATCTGCTTATGTTTTTTTCACATTAATTTGAACTAATGAACATTACCATTAGTCCTCTTTCATATGCTTTTCAAAGCACTGTTTTAGAATTTACTTGAATTCTGAAGATGGCAATTATCTCATCTAAATTTAGACAGAGGTGGTATCTAGTTTGATTGTTAATAACATCTTAAAAAACATAAAACCAAATTCTTAGAAATTTAATTTTAATTTTTGTTAACTGGGAAAGAAGAAAACAAAAGCAGAGGTTTCTTCCAGCCCTTACAGCTCCCTTCCATAAGATTGATGAACAGACCTTGGAAATTCTTTTTATCTTCAGTCATTGAAAGAAAGTTTATAACAAATTCATAGTAGATCTTTAACTTCTAGATGATTGGATTTAGTTCAGATGAATCATGTACTGCAAAAGGAACTGAAGACCTCAAGTTCTGCCACCACTTATTTCCAGGATATAAAGAGAGTCATACTTTAGGGTTCTCATTGTGAAACTTATATATTTTAGTAGTCAAGTGGGAAGAATCACTTGAATACAATGCATGCAGTAAAATATGCAAATACACTATGTACTTTTTCATTCTGATATATAATGAGCAGTTTCTCCTTACGAATTAAATCTCAAACCATTACTTAACAATAACTTTCAAAGTACTCAATAATACCAGAAGGAAATTTGCCAGATTTAAATCTAAACATAATTGTCTTAGAAAATTATTTTAAAGCATTTTTAGATACTATACTCGTCATCTCATCACTTCATAAGATGTAGGATTTTTTAGTCATACATCACTAATTTTTATTTTTCCATTAATCTTTTCCTTCACGTAAGGTCTATTCAATATTTTATTTCAAGTTTGCTTTTTGCTAAGAGTAAGAAATCACAAAAGATTAGAAACAATTGGAATTGAGGAATTGTAAAGCTAATTCAAAAATAAACATTACACTTTTTAATATGTTCACTTACACTAGTACTGTACACCTTTTCTTGATCCTTACCGTATGGAAATATTTTTTAGTTTGACAGCTGATATGAATATAAAATCATTAAGTAAAATAAAATAATTAGAGGCCAGATTGGATGGGGCTCTGGGAAAACTCCGTTCAAAAATAAAAGTGTCTGATTTAGTGGTTGGCAATCCTGCCCATGACATGGGAGTGAGAGAACTAGGTGATCTCTGAGATCTGTTCCAACCCAAACCATTCTATGCTTATGTGATAAATAGAACAAGCTTTAGCGTACCATTGTCGACCCTCAAAGGGGATCTTCATGCTTCTTACAAAATAAGATTTACAGCCTAAAATGGTGTTTAGTTCACTATTTGATCTGATGTTTATGAAACATAATTCAGTGACATGTTCTATAATCAAGAACAGGTGAGATATGGCTTACATTTGCTTCTTTTTTTTTTTTTTTTTTTAATTATTATTCCTGTAGATTAATTTGGATTGCTGTAATACTTTTGTGCCACCAATGATGGGAAATGGTGAAACTGCTGTGCTATTGAATTTTTTTCTGAATACTTCTGTTTTTTCCTTAATACCTTTGAATTTCTTTCATCTTTTGACTCTCTGTAACCTATTATGATATTTTCAGCAGAGATAGCTAGTAATCATAGATCACAACCAGCACCTGTATAAGCCAGGATTTTCTTTTTCTGCGTACGTCAAAAAAAGACCATCATATCTAAAGCCAAGTGAAACAATCTGAACAGCACGGTGTGCAAGGTCACCAGTACAACATAAATGACATGTTGAGAAATCTTACGGAATGGAAACAACAAAGAGATACGGGAACCCAAAGAGACAGCTGACATTAATATGGTTTCCACTATAGAACTACTGTAGTATGCTTAAATTTAAAATGCTGTTGTCAGTGGCTGCACATGATCACAAATGATTATATAATTCTAGTCAACTAGTAAATCTGGAAAGAATCAAAACACTCAGAGGACCAAAGAGATAATAAACATGAAGTAGGATACAAAAATAGGAATCATAAGTTAAAATTTTAAGACCATGGGAGACTGAAATAAACACAATAAACAGTAACACTTACAATAAAAACAGTTACAAAAATGCTAATTATTCAATTAAGTACTTTTTAGTGTGAGTTGCTTGTAAGCACCTCATGTTTCCTAAACAAGCACCACAGTGGACTTCAGAAACTACACCAAGCTATTCAAATCTTCTGGTTTTAATTAGTTAAATCAAGTAATCTCAGCAAATATTCCAAATATACTTTGGTTTAGATGTATGCATGATATTTTTTTTCTTAAAAAACAGTTACAATTTAAAATAGGATAGAGAAAATAAATTAAATGCATATTCCACATACAGGTAGTAAGCAGCAAACTGGAGGAACACTTATTATCTAAATAAATTCTGTAGTGAAATTTTGTGAAACCAATCACAAAAGATTTGCTTGTTTATTCATACATCAGCACTAAAGATTACACTATGCGTACAGAAAATAATGGGCTGCATTTAAAAGAGTATCACTTTTCAAAAGCATTCAATCCACCCAGAATAACAAAATTGTAGAGGTAAAAGCTGAAATACTTCTGGGTTGATGGTAGTTTATTTCACTGCCCTCTTTAACAATGGGAAAAAATTAGCCAAATATAACTCTTAAAAATTATGAACAGATTAAAAAAAAAATTACACATGAAAAAAATGGTCTTGAGATGAACTGTGATACAGCAGTATAAGATTCCTAAAGATGTCTAAACCAACTAAAACTAGATGCTACAAAACACATGCCAAATAGCAGTCAGATCCTAGCAAGGAAGTGAAGACAAAAAATAAGAATTAGAAAGTTAACCAGAAGCATCCATAGTGAAGTCTATGCCCCACAACTCATTGCCACCTGTTTCTTGTTAATTCATATTGGCATTATATATAACATGCATTCACAAATATTTTGAAATGACATGGCAATTCTCTCTTACATACAAAATGCTGCTAAATTATGAATGATTCTCTGCAATGTTTTTCAAAGATGATCAGATAAAATACAGTACATTAGTTTAATAGCTTTTTTTTTTTTCTTTCATTTTTTTCTTTTTTCTTTTTTTTTCTGTTACTCTCAGGCCACTGTTGCATTTATTCTTTTCCTGAAAACTATAAGCAGGAAATTCAGAGATTGCCCAGCTGTCTAATTTCAGTCCTATTTAACCACAGTGATAAAGACATGGAAATTTTTGTAAGTTTTGTAATTAAGGGCAACACAACTCCAAAGGAATAGCTTTCTTAAAACTTGAATTTTAAACACAATACTAAACCATAAGTAAGACATAAAAAATCAGTCAGTTCTGTCTACCCATACATTTATCACATATTCAATAAGAAGAAATAATTTCCATTTTGTGGAAATAAAAAATTATATATATATATTTTAAGTGACAAATTTGAATGATGCTTCCATTTCTTCCAGGGTATAAATTCAGAACCTTTTCAAGATATGAAAATTGGCAGAAATTTATCAGATTTTTTTTAGAATGAATTAAAATACTGCTTGTATATTAGCCCTTCCAAAAGAATAATTTCTGTTCGTGCCATGGTATTGTTCATATGTGCATTTTCAGAAGTATGTCACATTTCAATTATAGCAATCTGTAAACTAAGTCTGCAAGTTTTAGATGATCCACATAGATGATGCATAAAAAACATTCTCTCATAAGCAACATTTTCTTGACATTTATTTTTATTATGATGCTTCCATATTTTTAGAAGAACCATCTGAGCCACTGTTGAAACAGGTTATAAATAGAATACTACATTTGATAGATTCTTTCAGATTATAGAATTGACATTTGGTCTATGCTTCTCTTGATTTTTGTGCAGGGATAACCACGTTTCTCATCCTTAAAAAAATGAAAATTCTTAAAGAGAGTTAGCAGCTGTATTTCCACTCACGATCCCCTACACAAGAAGGAAAAGAGTAAAAATCATACCAGATCCTTTCACAATCAGTTGAAAACTTATGAGTAAAGGCATTATTACTAAACTATACGATTTGCACATCCTCTACTCTGCATAAACCACAGTGATTCACTACATTGATTCAGCACACAAACAGCAATACAATCAGAGCAACATCTCTGAAATAAAACATAATCAGAAACTCTTATCTTGTAAAGATCAGACAAGTTAAAATATTTTATTTTTGTGACAGAATAATCCCATATTTAATCTTTCATTCATAATAATAAAAAAAAGCAAAACTGTAGAAGAAATAATAAGAGAAGTACAATTGAATATCTCTAAAAATGGTGAAGTAGTTCTCTGCATGGTTTTGTTTGGAGACCTATGTTTCCAGCTATAAACCTGGGATGTGTTAGAGAACTGGTGTCTGGGTGCAGTATTGACTGGCAGCTGCTTGGGGGTGGTGGGAACAGGGTTTGGCAGGGGAGGGTCTCTCCACTCACGGTCTATCCCACCACACTTTGATGGATTGACCCCACCTTAGTACCCATTCTGCTTATCACTCACTAACCCCCACCTGGAGAAGGATTAGGTAAAGCAAAATCAAGAAAACTCATAGGTTAAGACACTTCAGTAAATGATGGAAAGAGGGAAAAAAAGCAATCACACTCCAGTTCTCCATAAATAGACCGGTGCTAAGTCAATATGCAAGAAATGTGTGCTTTTTTTTTCTTTTTTTTAAGACAAAAAACCTGCTTAACATTTTCACATTTCATATTAGTTTAAGGTTTTGTGTGATTTTTGCTCTTTAAATGGATTGTAGAAATCAAATGAAAATTCTTTCATTGACATAACATATGGGCAAAAAATAAAGAAATAAAGAAAAAAACTTCACAACTTTTCCTAAGATGTGCTTTTGCATTTTAAAGAGTCCTATTACTTGATCATTAAAAAGAAAAAAAAGGATTGAATTTAATAGAAATTCCTAGATTTAGAATTTCAGTCAAGAGAAAATGTTACTGATAGTTTCAGCCTATAAGGTTGAAGAGTACATACTTAAGTAAGGTAAATTAGATAGCACAGTAGTATGCAATGAGATTTTCACTGGATCAGCTGAAGAAACTGGAAATTGAACTACCTTATGAGCAACAGAATAAAGCTATTTAATTGAAATTGATTCTAATTTCACATACTGTTCTTTTGATTTGTTTAAAGCAATGGCACTCTGGAAGGAAAAGATTAAAATAGACTATGTGAAAAGTAACACATCAACCCCTTGCCTGTATACAAGATCCAGATCCATCTACTGTTAGTATGGATGTATCTTCTCTTTAAGAAAAGAGTGACTAGAGACTCATTACATCTATGAAAACTAAAGAAAAGTTTAATTAAAAATGTTGGCTGTAACTAGCTGAAGAAAAATTGATCTTAAAACCTTTAAAAAGTAAAACCACTACATTTCCTATTGGGAATTCTTTGAGCTATCCAGACATGATATATTTTCAGAAGACCTTGAAAGAGGTTAAGTAGCTAAAGCTCATTAAAATTAAGTGGAGTTTACAGCTTTAACTTCTTTTGAAATCTCATCTGACATTCACTTGGTAACAAAAAGCAAACTCAGATAATAACAAATAGGTTTCCATTTACAATGGAACTGTTGCAAAACATACTATATATTTTTTTTACCGGTGGAGTACTGAAAATATAGAAGGATGAACCCCTCAGTGCTAGAAACTTGAATTTGTAGAGCTGAGATGAATCAGTTCCTTCAAGTCTCTCATGTACCCATCCCATATGAATGACCTGTAAAAGAAAATAATTGAAGATCAAGGATCTATGTTTTTCAATGGTATATCTGAATAGGTTAAATCTTTCCACAAGGAAAAGTGGTCATCTTAGTGAGAATCTATCATTTTCTTCATGCTTTCCTTCCTATCACTATCACACTCTTGAGCCTCTTAATCATGTAAAAAAGACAAATCAGGTCAAAAGCCCTCAAAGAAGCTTAATTTTTTCAGTGCAAGTTGTCTGAATCTTGCTCCAACCCAGGTAGTGAAATTAACAGATCCGTATATACTGTCTGTCTACAACAACTAATGAGAAAAGGTGGATTTCACAGGAAAAAAAAAAAGTAATTTTCATAAAATCAAGTGCTCCAAGACAGTGAATCTGTCTACACTATGAGGTCCATAGTTACCATTTTAAAAGTCAATATATGTGTTCCACTTGAGCCAGCAGAAAGGTGTACTGAAACAGTCCAGCCAGCAGTCTATAAACCTACATATAGAGCAGTCAAATCTTGGACATAATAGAATTTCAAACCTTAAACCTATAAAATACATCTGAGTAAGTCACTAGAGTTATCTGAAATCTAATAGCTTTCTGTATGCTTACATATGTCATTGTTAACAAAGGGTCTCTGTCACACTAATTGTCTTACGGTGTTTATATACGTTTTATCTCATGATAGTGATTTATATTCTGCTGGAATTAAATGTCAACTTCATCAATTAAAGAAGTTTTCTCTAACAGTATTACAATATGTTTCTTTATATTTCAGACAGATTAATCTTAAGAAAACATAAAATTAAGTAGGAGCACAGCCTTCCTTTCTGAGGGAAATGCAAATTTCTGAAGGAATAATGCCATATTGTGGCATTAGAATATAATGAATGTAATTTCTCATGAAAAATGACAACCTAAATGTACACAAAATGAAAGCTGAAGTGTTTAAGAGGAGCATATTACCCTTGAAACAGGTTACCCTAGATCGACCAACCTGGATATTTAGCTACTGCTGAAATCTTTTCTCATTTTCAATTAAGGATACACTTATGAAAAATACAAAAATACAGGGGCAGAAATATCGTAACGCTTGTGAATATTCTGACTCTATGGAACACTGCTGGAAGTCAGTGGAAATAAAGACTGGAAAAAGTATTCATTAAATCACATGAAAGCCTCAGCATTTGTTCTATGGATACATTATAAAACAAAAACAAAACCAATAACTAAAACAAACAAACAAAAAAAAACAACTCCAAACAACTCAAAAATGCATTTTTTATTGAAAATTTGGTGTGTGTATATGCAGCTACTGCTATTAGAGCAAAAAAAGTTGAAAAAATGATAGGGAACAATTAACAGTATAGAAATACATTCACAGTTTTGTATCACATATTTCACGATTTCACATATTTATTTTTCTAGTTATTTATTATATCGAACTAATAGCTTTTAGGTATCAAATTGTTTAGGAATAATAATATAGATCAATATGTTGATTATGACTGTGTCTACTATACTCTTCTGAGCTCCAATGTTAATGTTTTAAAAAGTTCTACGAAATAACATGATAAATATAACACTCTTTACAATTCTCACTTTGCTATTGTGTAAATCCAGTAACTCTCATCAGAATGTTGCCTCTGTACTAGTCAGTAAAGGTTTAGTAACAATAAAGGTTTAGTAACAAAATGTTCAGATACTTTAACATTTTAGCAAAATATGCCCCGGTATCACTGATAAATCACTCCAAACTATAAGAAATCACAGAATCAGAATTGCATGGGTTGGAAGGGACCTCCAGAGATCATCGTGTCCATCCCCCCTGCCAAAGCAGGTTCCCTAAACCAGGTCGCACAGGTAGGCGTCCAGGCAGGTCTTGAACATCTCCAGAGAAGGAGACTCCACCACCTCCCTGGGCAGCCTGTTCCAGTGCTCCGTCACCTCACTGTAAAGAAGTTCTTGCGCACATTTGTGCAGAACTTCCTATGCTGCAGTTTCCGGCCGTTTCCCCTTGTCCTGTCTCCACTCACTGCTGAAAACAGTTCGGCCTCACCACTCTGCCCCCCACACCTTAGATATTTATAGACCTGGATCAGGTCCCCTCTCAGTTTTCTTCTCTCAAGGCTGAACAGACCCAGTTCACTCAGCCTTTCCTCATAGGAGAGATGCTCCAGGCCCTTCACCATCTTCATGGCCCTCCACTGGACTCTTTCCAAAAGATCCCTGTCTTTTTTGTACTGGGGAGCCCAGAACTGGATGCAGTACTCCAGATGAGGCCTTACCAGGGCAGAGTAGAGGGGGAGGATCACCTCCCTCGACCTGCTGGCCACGCTCTTTTTAATGCACCCCAGGATGCCATTGGCCCTTTTGGCCACAAGGGCACACTGCTGGCTCAATGGCCAACCTGTCGTCCACCAGGACACCCAGGTCCCTCTCTGCAGAGCTCCCCTCCAGCAGGTCATCCCCCAACCTGTATTGGTGCATGCAATTATTCCTCCCCAGATGCAAGACTCTACACTTGCTTCTGTTAAACCTCATCCGTTTTTTTTCTGCCCAGCTCTCCAGCCTGTCCAGGTCTTGCTGAATTGCAGCATGGCCTTCAGGCGCGTCAGCCAATCCTCCCAGCTTCATTCTATCATCAAACTTGCTGAGGGTGGCCACTATCCCCTCATCAAGGTCATTGATGAAGATGTTGAACAAGACTGGACCCAGCACTGACCCCTTAGGAACACCGCTGGTTACAGGTCTCAAACCAGACTCTGCACTGCCAACAACGACCCTCTGTGCTCTGCCAGTTAAATATTGCTTTTATCATCATGATAATATAATATGAAATAATCCTGAGAATCCTGAGAAAAAACAACTGTGTCCAAATCGCAGGATCCAAACAATACGTTATTCTCCTTTACATGCTGAAATTCATGATTGCTGACTTGCAAATGCATGCAATTCATTAATCTGTATAACTACTAAATAATTTACTGACTACATTGAGAAATAACAGATTTAGCTCACTATTGTTTTTCATTTATCATTATCATCACTGCCATCAGAATCATCATCTTTTAAAACAGCATTTGCAAAAGAATTCCACAGTGTCAAATATAAAAACATAGTCGTGGATAAAGTCTTCAGCTTGACCAGGCCATTCAACAAGCACCAATATTAAACCAATTACATGACTCATATTGAAAAATATAATGATATATCTAGCAACAAGCCAAAAATTTACATTTTATGGACTAGATCAGAATTTCTTAGAAGTTCTTAGCTGAAACTCAGGGCAGGATGGTATCTGAAAACTGCAACTCCATTTGTCAGGTGTATTTTCACTTCAAACTGTGTGTCATTTTCTGTTACTGAAAATAAAATTTTTAACTTGATTCATCTAGTTGACAGGAACCAAAACTTGGCCTGTAAGCATAGTTCTTATGTACCAACCGTAATGCAAAAATCAACCATAACCTTCTTTTGACTTTCTTACACTTAGAGAAAGGGTACTGAATTTCTCTAACTTGAAGTAAAAGATTTCTTTGCAATGAACATGTTCTTTTTGCCAAAATTTTCCATCTATGAAATGGGAATATCCTTTACTTACTTTATAGATTTTGTATGAAGACTCTGTTACTCTTGTATTCTTATCTATGACTGCAAGACGTTGGTAGCAGTGCCAAACATTATAGCCATGATTTAGTGTAGCACTTAATCTTCTATGTAATTCTCTTGAAAATGTATTTAGCTATCAACACAGAATGCATTTTTTTATTAGCTGCAGACATACTTTTGGGCATGTGCTCTAAGTTTTTTGCTGAAATGGAACTGCATTATTATTTTTATTAGTCACACAATACTGTGATCAGTCTTCCTGCAATAGATCAGAATCAGCTTTAAAGTTGATTCTTCACATGAAAGAGGTGGTTTTCTTAGCTACTAACATCCATAAAGTGAATGTTAAGCTGTCCCAAGGGTCGCTTGTAGAATCTCTTTCAACCTCAGACAAAAATGAATAATACAATAAATAATACAATAACACATCCTCTGAATTAGATTCTGGGAGAATTCAACCTTTTTCCGAGGGAAAGATTCACCGAACTATTACAACATTCTAATATTGTATTTAACTTCTCATTCATCTAAATTCTTATGAAAAAATACATCAGTATGGAATAAGGTAACCTATACTTCCTCAAAAACTAAACACTACTACTTCAGTTACATTTCAAATACATTGCTCTCTATTTAGTCTGCTTAGTGGAAACAACTTACAAAACTTCAGTTTCAGGAAGAACTTATATAAAAATAAAAAAAACAGCAAACAATGTATGATCAAAACAAACATTATACTAGAACCATTAAAAACATTGAGAACTTTCTTTGTTTCTAAATGTCATTATAATTCCCAAGAAATATCAGAAAATGATCAACAGTTCTTCACTCTTTATTCCCTTAGGAACCTTTACTGAGCTTTGTCCTCATAGCTTGTGGAAGAAGGAAATAATTATATACTTCATAGTAGAAATAAGAAAAAAACAGCCTGCTAATTTGTGTCTTACAAAAGAAAATAAATATATATATACACAAAAACAGGATGTGCTACTGCTCAATGTTATTTTAAAAGAATAAAACACCCATAAAAAATCTTTTAAATTACAAGATTGAAAAAGACAATAGAAAAGATACTAAGCAGTTTAGGTTTTTCTTCCTACTGAATATAAAATACAGGAATATGACAAAACAGAAAATTAAAATGGAGAGAACAAAACAAAAGCACACTATACAGGTATATGAAGGGGAAAACATGGTAAAAATATCTGGGAGGAAAAAAAACATAAAGAAGATACCAAATGTATGCTTGCCCCATCCCTGGAGGTGTTCAAGGCTAGACTGGATGGGGCTCTGGGCAGCCTGGTCTAGTAGTAGATATGGAGGTTGGCAGCCCTGCATGTGGTAGGGGGTTGGAGTTTGTGGTTCCTTCCAACCCAAACCATTCTATGATTCCATGATAAGAAGAAAAA